ATACTTTTTGTGCGTGCATTTCAATTTCGCGATTGCCGTTTTGCAATTTGCATTTGCATGTTGGCGAATTGTTGCTAATTTGCATGTGCAAACAAGGGCCCGCCAGTTTTTACACGCGCTTGCATCGTCGGATTATTTAAATCCGTGCGACAAACATGCAATGATCGTTTAATTCAATTCCGCAAAAAACTGTGCTTTTGAAACAAACAAAATACACAAAGCCCTTTATAATTAACCAGCAAGGTATAATCTGTACCATAGTAAACTACAAATACAGAAATAATTAACTTTTACTGCAAATTACGTTAAAAAAATTGCAAGATTTGAAAATCTGTAGAAAAAAACGATCTCATTACCCAATAAATATTGCAACGCGATCGGCATCCCTTTTGCCATTCGCATGCAGTCCGGGCGTCGGGAATATCCGGGACCCTGGGTCCACTTCAGTTCGCCGCTGTTGCCTCCGCATGAACGTGCTCAATAATGCTTATCTTCGGCGAAACATTTCACTTTAAAACAGAACTTAAGCGAGCAGGCACGTACATGCAGTGTGCACTGGTGTCTTTTGCTAACTTTTCTCTTCTCGCGATACATTTATAAATCGATTGCGTAATGAATCTTTCCGTTAGATACCGACAAAGAATCCACTCGTGTGTGTTTTATTATTTTTTCATTAATATTTAAAAGAGGAATCGGTTTGTTTTGTATTATTTACTCGTTTTAATATTTTCCTTTAACATGACTGCGAGCTATGTTGATACCGACGTTTCTTGTTATTACGTTGCGAAATCATCGCATGCAGCTGAAGGGATGAAAATATTCAATTTCTTTGTTATTTATATACTCAAATTGTCACGTTGTGCAAACATCTGCGCAATTTCTATTTTGAAAAATATTTCATTTTATTTTTTAGTTTTCAAATGTGTATAATGTAAAAATTGATATAATTTTACTTTTCTAAGTAAATTTTTACCTCTCTCAACGACATACTTTATAAAAAAAAAGTTGAAACAAATAAGAAGTAAATTTAAGTTTGTTGCTTTTACTTTGAAAGCATTCCGCGCGTTTGTAGCCGGTACAATCACGCTCAATTTCAGCTTATGAAAGCTCGTCCGAACTTTTTTGCATTCGTTCGCCTCAAACGTCTCTCCCCGTTCCATGTCGACATATAAGCACTTGTTCCATTTTCGTATTCCGGTATTTTCGCTTTATGTCTTTGCGTTTTGTCTGCCGCTTTTTACGCGTAGTAGTCTATTCCCACGTGCCACTATTTTGTGAATGATGTTTACAACTCGCGCGAGTGTGGAAGCGAAGCACATTTACCGTAACACGCGAAAAAGAAAAAACTCGGCAGGTAAACGAGAAGACTTCCACTACATTTTTTATGAATTTCGGTTTTCCGGCGAACTTGTTGGGAGCAAAGAAGGCTTTTAAGCTTTCTAGTTCTTTTAAACCACAACACCTCACATCCTGAGGCTGCATGCAAATGGTACATATAACTTTGATTCATTTTTTCTGTAAATTCTGTTTAGTGACTTTGAAACACTTCACAAGTTGTTTAATTTTCTAGCCAATTAAATCAGTAATGCGGGTAAATTTGGTCTAAAATCAGCACCAAACTTGTTGTAATTGCTCACTGCAGAATTAAGCAAATTAGATATATGCGGCAGCGGCGGCGGCGGCGTCAAAATAGAACAAAATGTTTGCTTTCTCTGATTGCAAGTGGGGAAACGCGCACACCACTTGAGGATGTGGGTTTGGTTGGAACGTGAGTTAACACGAATTTTCCACACGAGGCGGGTGCAACGCAACGCGTCAAAAACGATCCCTTTGTGCGCCGTTATGATCATGTACGAAGTACATTTCTCGCTTTTCCGTACCAAATTGCTTGCGCTCGCATGCGATTTTCGAAAAGCGAACAATAATAAGCGCATATGCAGCACGTTGCATGCGAGTAAACAATAACGCAAAAGCAAACCCGTCGGTTCTCAATGCGCAATGCTTGCAGGGTGGTAATGTGATGCTCCCACGATACAATCGCTCTGGTGGAATTTCAATACCCGTTTTAATCAAAATCAATACACATTACGAGCATTTCTTCTGCGTGCAGCCCATCATAAATGCATGAAACGATAATTGTATGATTAATCAAATAAATTAATTTCGAAATAGCATTTCGCAGAAGAGAAATTGCGTTTCGTTGACTGATTACGCTTATTTTTCTTTTCTTGCCTGCAAATCACTGGTGCGGCGCCTCCACCATTTTTTTGTTTGCCCTGCGCGTGTCTAGAGTTCTCAAGTGTAAGCAATCCGTGTGGCTCCTTAATTACGCCTTGTAATGAGGTCCATCATTTATCATGCAGGTTGCGCGTGAAATACAAACTAAAACGAATAAATCATGCAATTAATAAAAGTGTAGCAGAAATATATTTTACGCCTTCCAGCCGGAATAAAATTAAGTTATTCCATAAAATCATAGTGTTCCAGATGGTTATAAAACATCACATCTAACACGAACATATTACCTGACGCGGATGCAGCGTCTTGCAGTCGGCGTGCATATCTCATTCTGCATTTCGTCGCTTGCTTCGAATGAGACGTAAATTTCTGTGTAAAATTACGTCAAGCCGCGCGCGCAAGGACGAAGGACGCACGTAGGTGCACGCGGCTGGATGCCACTTAGTGGCTGTGCAGGAGCAAGCGGGGAAAAAGTAGAGCAATAACAAAAGAGGCAGACGTAAATCATGTCGACTCTAATATGCGCTTATTATGGCATACAAGCAGCGGACGCGTAGAAGACGCGCATTTTTCTTTTGTAGACAGAATTTAGAATAAATTTAAATCGATTTTTGAAGCAACATAACCTAACTTAACCTATCCTGTATTTAATACTAGCTTTAACCCGCGGCTTCGCTCGCGAATATCTAAAATAATGAAGTTGCTTCCATACGCGTCTGTAGTCACAGAAGAAGTAACAATGAAGTAGAATGGCGGGAAGTTTAAAATGGCTGAAAGTATAGTCTATGGAAGTATAGTGTACAGTCTCCATAGTGTAGTCAATTGGATTTGATGTTGACGTAGCTGTCGGTAATACAGTGTGATAATACAGTGTGATGGTACTATAGTACTTAGGTTTGAGCTTCATTGCTGGAATGCTAGATGGCGTTAAAGTAGTCAAATAGCCAGATGCAGAGGTATTATTGGCTAAGCAATTTCTTTATTTTATTTAAAAATATTTTTTTTATTAAATAAAAGTAGCCTATAACCATTCGGGGACCACTAAGAATATGTGTACAAATTTTCATGATGATTGGTTAAGTAGTTTTTGCGTGAAAGTGTAACAAACATCAGGACTTTCGCATTTATAATATTAGTAGGGATATATCTCGAGTCTTTTAATGCACTTCTGTTGGTCTATATCTAATTCATTTAGTTCAAGTCTTGTTGTCTCCACTTCCCAGACTAAACTCAGCAACTTGAAAACATTTGTCTTTTCTTTTGTGTTGCTGGTGTCGTGACGAGTCCTACATCGCAGGCATGCCGTACAATATACGAATAGACGAAACTAAACTAATGAAATAAAAGTTGGTTTTATTTCTTGCAGCAGTTCGCTGTAACAAAAGCAATGCTTGCAAGGAGCACAATTTTATGAGCATCGGAATATAAAAATTGTAACCCGGCGAAAGTAGCAAACTCCTCGGGTTGTGAACCTGGAGGGCTAACGACAACGAGCGCAGGGCTCTTGTTCACAGCAGGAGAAACTGCTGCGCGCTGTTTTAGTTGCATTTCTCGCGGATCGCGCACTCGTACACACTCCTACTTACACAGCAATAGCAGCAGTGCAAAAATCTCAATTTATTTTATTTCGTTCGCATTACCTATCCGGAGCATAACTTTATTAAAATTATGCTTTTAATTTAAAAACTTTTCCTCGTTTTCCGGCTGATGGTTTGCATCTCCCGCAAAATGAACTCACGTGGATCGTAATAGTATTTAGTCATATATGCAGCAAAGTGAGCAGGAGCACTCTAAATAAATATGCTTTTCTTTTATTGCGCCCGCCGCATACTCGTACATTTTATATAACCAACTTGTTTTGAATACTCGTACATCAACCGCATTATGCATTACTCAATTCTAAGCCAATTAATTTTTATTTTCCTGATGGTGGATGATAATTAAAATAAATGTACTATTAAGTGTCTGCCTAACGGCTTAGCAACCGAATTATATCGTCTTAAAACAATTAGCAATTAAAAGTTCTGCAAGATTTGCTCTCTTTTCGACTTTCAAGCAAATGCACAAAAGATTACTTTACGCTTTAATGATAATGATGTAATACAGTTTGTTTCTTATCCTCTTTAACCTCAAAATTAATCTTTATTTAGTTCTAATTGCATATTTTATAGCACGTTAACTAACGAACCTCTTGTTTTTAATATATTCTAAAGAAATACCCAGCTTCTAATGCAACACTCGGTATATGAGTTGGATAATTATATTTCTCAACTTTGAACTGTCCGCAAGAACTGTTTGCAAACGCGAACTTGCCAGAAATATTTGGATAGCTACGCTCACTGAGCAGCTAATAGGGGTTATATCCACTTATCCAGCCAACAGGACGCTTGGAAATTTTCTAGCTTACGAATGACGCAATTGCTTTAATTGCACGCCATGGAAATGCGATTCGGTTCCAGTGTTATACTTAATAGTTGTACCTACCTGCCGTTGCATTACCTGCGCCGCAGAACTGCAATTGAATCAAATTACACTTTCAAAGTCAGCGACATTAAATTTTTACTTAAATTGCCAACAATCCAATAAAATTTTTAGCAGTAAAAATTCTCTATCAAACAAATAAACACGAGTTTTAGGCCTTAATTAAAGCATTTTTTGACTGATCAACAATCCAAACATGAAATATGAAATTCCATCGGCACTGAAACAACAGCAAAAATTCACAGCGATAGGGATGAGAGTACAATAACAATTAAACATGCAAAATGTAAATAAAAGGAACAGTTTATTTACAGACATAATAACAACCGACATTCGAGTTTTGGGTGTGTTTGTGTGTGTTCACCATAATTTACAGTATTTTTTCAATAATTTCACTTTTTTGTTTGCATATATCATATTATACGTTATCCTTTTATCTGTAACACAATATTGTATACTTTGTAACAATGGTCTACATTTCTTTTTTGATAATGATGCCTCTTCTTCTGATATTCGATTTAGGAGCTTTTTTTTGCGTAACTTTTATTTTATTTTTAAAATTTTACGTTAGGTTTAGGTTGTAATGGTAATTCTTGCATACATAACAAATTTTAGAGTTGAGTATTGAACGCTCAACTTAATTATCTAAGCTAAAACCTCTTTTTCTTAACAAAAATAATTGTGATATGCTATTTTTACTACTTATTTGATATTCGCCCTCCGGTTATTGCCATTTCCCTCTATAAATTCACTTTATTCACATTGAGCAATCGATAAACAAAGTTTAACACAAATCAAATAACGAATTAATTTGAAGAGTTTTCCTAATGCTCTTCACTTCTTTACCTCAGCTGAGCTGGTGGTATTTTATCGCAGACTTCGATCGCACGTCGCGCGCACTGAAATATTACTTATTCAAAAAGCGTCATGCTAATCCTTAAAGCACTCATTATTTAATGACAATCGGTCTGCGGTCTCGTAACAATGGGCTCGAGTGTTACGAAACGCGCGAGACGTCGGAATGTATTTCTTTTGCTTCTGGTTTTGTGTCGTCTTGAGATGTTTTTCACTCTGCGCTTCCACTAGAATCGCATAATACTGATTCATTATAATTATTAATATAATTATTAAATTAACGATTTTATCATCTTTGCCATTGATACATTCAATAGTTTATGCAATTCTTACTAATTATTAGTTGTACAACGATACACTTTTGAATATGAATACGCAAATATCAAAAGTCTAGACTCAAATGAGAAGAAATCCTTCTAAGACTCGATGAATATGAGTACATCTACCATTTAAGTATTTGCAGTGAATTACGTGCATCACTTCAATTACTCCGCTAATATTTACAAGTGTCATGTTAAATCAGATCTGAATGTTTTAGGTCGATGCAAATATTGTCCGATCAAATATAATCTAGTTTTGTTGACGGGGATGTTCATATATTATCTGGTATGCGAGTAATAGACTGAACTAAAATTTTATTATAGGCGCTAGATAGCAATCGTTATTATTATCATTATAATATCAATATACATACATATCCGATAATTATTGATAGCATGTAACCAGAAGTCGGCAAATGTTTGCGCACACAATCAATTTCACTAAATAATCATTTTGTTTGCTTCGTAATTTACTTTAAATATTAAAGTCAGTCTTACCAGCTAAGTAGATTTATCTAAGACTTATTTAGTAATTATTTAGACGGGAAATTATGGTTGTGTTGCCGACGGATCTTCTAATTATATTCTATCTATTGAATTACATCCAATCAATTCCTGGTTGATGTATAATAACTGTGTTTTTTTTGTTCGTTGGTGGCATGATAATTGTATCAAACGATTCCGGCGCATCCCCGAATTGTAATTTTCATTTAAAATGCATTAAATTGCTGCTACGGCCATGATCGCATTGCGCCATTGCATATTTTATGCGGCGTTCGGGCGAGCTTAGGCTTTTAGTCCGAGTAATTTCTTAAAAGCTCGCCGGAAATCCAAGTTAAAGATTGTGTAGATGATCGGATTGAGCGCAGAGTTTATATAGCCTAGCCACGTGATGAAATTTATGAGACGATTAGAGGGACAGCACGATGCACAAAACGGTTTGATGACGTACATGAGGAAGAATGGCAGCCAACAGACCACGAATACACCCATGATGATTCCCAGCGTACGAGCTGCACGACGTTCTTTGGATAGAGAGATGCGTTGCTTTTCTTCGATGAACTGATACACAATTCCTGTCTTTTTTGGTGGTGGAGGTTCTTGAATCTTTACCGCTTTGGATTTTTGATTTTGCGTCTCTGCAACTGTTGCTACAATAGTTGCATCTTTTAATGGAGTAGTAGGTTTGATTTCTGTTTGTTCTTCGGGTGTATCGTCGTTTTCTTTGCCAGCTTCAACTGGAACAGAGCTTTTTCTATGTGAGCTTGAAGATCCTTCCGCGTTGTCCGTGAAAGAGTCTTCATGCACTAACATGGGCTTCAAGTAGGCAGCTTTGTCATTATTGGTGTCTGTTTGTTTCTTGTTCTTTTGTTTTCTTGCTTTTCTTCTCCTTGGATTTTCCATTGGAGTCAACTGGGTTTTCGTTGTGGTTCGTCTCGCTGCTCACTGACTCCCGGTCGTGTTCATATTTTTTGGTTTTACCATTGTCGTTGCTGGCAGTCTGATTGCGTGACATATACGCACCGATTTTGGATGCTTGAGCGCGTTCGCGCAATCTCCGCCTTGTGGCGATGAATATCTCCACGTAGACGATGGTCATAATTAACAGCGGGATGAAGAATGATCCCAGCGAAGAATAAACGACGTATCCGCGTCGTTCGGTGAGTCGGCAGATGCTTTCGATCTCGAACTCCTCAGGTGGCGGCCAATCGTTCCACCCGATCAGCGGCGGTGAGCTGATGATTAGCGAAAGTACCCATACTCCGCCGATCATCCACAGGACGCGCTTTAGCGTGCGCTTCTGGGCGTAATTGATCGGGTCGGTAATAGCCCAGAAACGATCCAAAGCGATCGCGCATAGATTCAGGATGGACGCCGTACAGCACATGACATCGGATGTCACCCACATTTTGCACACGTGAATGCCGAATATCCACTTGCCGAGAATTGAGTAGGCGACGTTCAGCGGCAGCACGAGAATGGCGACGGTCATATCGGCGACCGCAAGCGAGACGATGAAAAAGTTCTGCACGATTCGCAGCGGCTTGTGCGTAAACACACTGAGTATGACGAGGATGTTTCCTACCACTGTGAATATTATGATGAGGGTCAGCGTGAAGATGGTGAGTAACGCTTCCCATTCCGGTACAGCAGTCGTAAAACCGAGACTTATATTGTACACCGCGACCTCTTCTTCCGGGCAACTGCTATTTTGGTCGGCCATCTCAAAAGCTGCCTGGATGAAGATGATTTAATCGATACTGTGACTTGTAACCTCAGACTGCAACAAAAAATCACATTTACATTTATTGCACAGGGAAAATAATTAGTGAACTGAATGGAAAATTTGCTACCAAGTAAAGATACATCGTTAACTAACAAATCGTTATGGGACAAAAAGCAAAATCCAATTATCCTGTTGTGTTGGCTCGCTCATAACAAAACACAGAACAAAAACTAAATAAGCAACTTCGTAAATATAAGGAAATGTCAGCGGAAAAACGTGGTGACTACGAAAAGCCACGTTTTGTTTTTATAAAATAACCTTAATGAAAAGAATATATTCTCATTACGCCAGACTTAATAAAATAAATGTTTTGGTAAATATTTTATTTGGAAAACAGTAGATATGATTTACTCTTTGCTGATTAATCACTAAAATGATACATTGATCCTTGTGGAATATACTTGGAGACATCTGCGTGAGCGATCGCTGAGTTTATAACATGATGCAACGTCGAAAGTTGATTCGACGAATAAACATCACCAGACCACCACTCGCAACGCAAATGTAAATCAAGCGGAACGAAATTAAACAAAGAGAAGTAACGATTAACACCAGCATCTCCAGATGCAGTGCGTTGCGCCGTCAACTGTCGACATTCTGGCAAGAAGTGCACAAATGCAAACTGTGAGAGTTGGAAATTTTGCAGCGAGAGTTGACTGATTGCCAGTTTTCGAAACGTTGTGCTCGAAGACGCCAAGAGCAAATTCGAACGTGAAGTTTGCCGCGAGAAACTCAGGTGGTAGAGTGGCACTTCAGATGCGCTTGTGTGTGTGTGTGGATTGGCACACGGCTCTTTCAGACGGTTTGACATGAACAGCGGACGGGAAACTTTCGGAAACGTAAATACGCGCAAATTGGAACGCTCAAACGTTTTCGACAAACAGAAATAAGACGTTTGGGGTGTACCCATATGGTTAAATCAAGTAAATGTTCTAATGATTCTGACAAATAGAAATTACATGACTTTTAAACAAATTCTCCTGAATGATATCTTAAATATCGCTATACATTTTAAAAAGTTGCAGGAAACTTTTAATGGACTCGCATATGTCTAAAGTAAAAAAAGGTAAAAATTTTCCCAGTTGTTAGTTAAATATAAGCGTTTACATTTTGATCAATAATGAAGACTAGAGTATTAACTAAACAATTCTGTGAAAGTGTAAACTTTCTCCATTACCTTGTGTTTTTTGTTTTATTTGTGATATTATATTCGGCTGGAGCTATTACACAAAGTTAGAAAGCAATTATCTCGCAATTAGATTTGTAGCTGTAATTTAACTAATTTTACTCCGAAGTAGAAAAAAAATTAAGCAACCGTTTTGAATTAATAATCGCAATAAATCATCTGTTTGCGCAGCCTCTCAATGCGTGTTTATTAGACGGTCGTAAAACAATTTTGAGCTGTTTAATAGCCTAGTGACATTCTGCAGCGTTTGCGATTATTAAAGCACATTTACGACATGGCGCATTTATATGTATTGTGTGTTGCATAAGCGCAAAGGTCACTACATCGAAAGATTTTACCACTTACGCCCGGCGCATTCACAAAGTGCTCACGTAAATCGTAACTGCACAAGGCACAAGCCAACGATCCATCGACTGTGTTTCGCTGTTCGTTTACGAAGGCGTAAACAAGAGGAAGGAGTTGATGCCAATGCGAATAACAAGAATAAGAGTAACGAGCCAGGATTGCAGTCAAGTCGAGCGGACAAAACGCTATCCCGGGCAACGTGAGAGCTTTGCAGCAAATTGATCAATTTTAATTAATACCGCTGCAACGGGCAGCACAGCAGCAGAATCAAAGAACGCGCTGCAACGTATTTAGCATATCTCCACCATCGGCAGTTTAATTAAACGTTTACCTTTTATTTAGTTACATCCCGGTTTACTCGCTCCATCTTATCGCCGTAGATATTCCACCATCTGAAGCCATTATTTTCCGGAGTAGAGCTGCGTTTATGTAGAAACACCGACTGATTAACTACGCCGATGTCGCGACGGAATTTCTTGGCCAAACGTCGAGGCATGCTGCTTGCGCTGCAACTGAAAACAAACAAAATTTAATTAATTATTACAATATTTTTTAATAATAGGAACATCGTTTCGTAATAATGTGACGTAAGCATGCCGTGGCATATAACGGAAGTAGGCGGTCCTTAGCCGGTAAAATATAAACGTTCCGCAAGCATGCAACTTTAATCGAAAATTTTCCTAGCGCGTGGCACCACAAAACAACGTCGACATTTACTAATATACCAAAACACTCAAAACCAGCGTAAGGACAGCAGGACACAATTGAACATTGTTTTAAAATTGCAGCACGTGGAAACAGCGCGCACACACGCTGTAATCAACCGTTTCATAAATTCGAAAGCCAGGTCGGGAGAAATGAAAAATAAAATCCGCCCGCACGAAATGCACGCCATTACGAGGATTGCACACATAATGTTATTAAAAACATTGCGCGAATTACACTTTGGTGAAGGTTATGCATTCTGAGCGGCGGATTAATACTAATGAGGATTTTATATTCACACACGCGCGCAGCGCGGATATTGTACATGTAAAGGGGTAATTTGCGGCAGTGAATTTCAATTAATATTATTAAGAGTGCGATTATTGTTTAATACGTTTAATTAAAATGCGAAAAAAACGCAGCGTCCAATTATATTAACTCATTCGCAGGCTTTTCTGTCAAGGACTGCTCATAATTATGATTTGACGAGGTAATTTTCATTGCAAATGGTTAAAAATCGAAGAAAAATGTGAAAAATGGGAAAATGTTATTTTTAGGCAAATTTGTTTTTTGATTTGCGGTAGTGGGTGGTAAGATGCTTATTATCAGATCGTTAGAATGGTATTTTATCTGCACATTTAATCTATTTCTCTTCTTTCTGTTTCCCCTGAAGGAAAACTTCTTCCTGTTGCTCTCCTCTCAATTTATTCCCCTTTTCTGCTTCTCTTCATCATTTTCCACCACAAAACTCTCTTTTTTCTCTCCCCTTTCTCATTCCCCTTCTCTCAACATAACAATTTTCTCCATCTCATCTTTCTTGAAGATATTATTTAATACTTAATACATTTCTTTCTATTTTTCTTTCCTGCATCCTTAATATTAATTATATTCAAATTATATTCCGCGCATAACCCGCTTTAATGCATATTAAAGCGGGACTTAACTTTATTTAAATGTGTTATGACAGAATTTGGAAATTAAATTAAACGGCGTGGAGTGCACCGCCCGTCCATCTCGTTTTTGCTCCCAGGGGACCGCACGGGCGCGCCGTGTTTTTAGTTTGCAGTGCACTTACAGACCGGGCGGGTAAATTTCGCAACGCAACATGACCACGTCATCTTTATTGCATTATAATACATCCAACCAACATGCAATTATTGAGAAGAGGCGAAGTGAATTAAAACTTTATCCGTGAGCTTAAACACTCAGTAGAACACAGGTGGTGTTCACAAAAAAAAAAGACGCCTGTGTAGAAGAAAACTGTAAATGGAAATGCAGCATTTCATAAATGGGTGGTTTGCAATGCGCTTAATAAGGCATTACATTGGTTTTTATGTTGCGCTTGCACACTCAAAAAGTACTAGCGCGCAGCGACAGGCAACAAAAAAGGGGTTTTGTTTGGTCACGGTTAGTCGGGTGCGCTCAATGCAATAAATTAAAACTCACCCCCACATTGAAGAATGGTATAGATATGACTATGGAAAGAAAGCATCCGACGACGACACCGCACACTGCGGCGTAATATTAAAAAAAAGGGCAGGGCTAAAGTGGACTAAAGCCTGAAAGCCAAGAATGCACCAACAAAAAGTCATTGAGTGAGTCTGTCGAGCGCTGCGTTATGCGGTGGTGTGCATTGGGCTAGTCCTTCTACTTGACTAGTGGAACAGCGGTTTGGCATCCAGCTTAGCCGGGGTGATAAAAATGTCGATAAAAAGGAATGCGCTCGTTGAGTTTCAAGCAGTGGGGCGGCTAGGTGCGGGCGGAAAGAGAGCGAGCTTTTCGTGTTGGTTGCATACTGCACAAGCGGTGCACATGTGCGCCCCACGGTATTGAAAACCTTTTCGATGTAAATAGAAAATTGAGTTGATATTTTATGAAACAGCATGACCATTAAAGCCAAGTGGAATTGCCTCGGCTCTCCGGACGCCTGTTGTATGCGCTGGGCTCTCGATAAGAAGCTCGGCTTTTCGCATGCCGAGAAGATGAGACTTTATCTCGACGTTATCGTGCGATCCTAACGTATTGCATCGTATGGTGCACCTAGACTAAAAAGAGAACTCCGCACACATACGCGCGTATTATTCGGTAAGCAGTACGTGTGGTTGCCTGATAAACCCGCTGTGGACTACTACTATGTGGTAAGTACAGCTACCACAATGGTGGAGAGTGTAGAGCCAGCGAAGAGTGCAAAAAGTATTTCAGCCAATGTGTCTATATCGGTTTATAGTGATTGAGGGTTGGTTGGCGCGACTTGTTGTGGTCACAGCCAGAACCCGACCAGAGTAATTTACTAGAAACTAGAGGACCGGCATCCGTCGACATAAAACTAAACTTTTCATCCTATTAAAGTAAAATAAGGCGAAACTCATAAAACCGCAACATGTGCAAATAGACTAATCACAAAGTAAAATTGATAATAAAATGTTTATTTGTTTAATTAAATTAAATTTATTATTGCAAATAGTACCAAAGTAAATTCATGCAAGAAAAGTTTGAAAGAAAAGTGCAGGTGCAACTTGCTGGTATTGCTTGAAGAACGGAAGCTTAGAAGAATGCGAAACTTGCAGCCGCAAAATTTGTCATATAAATACCTGTGGGTAAAGCACTTATATATTGCGCTTGAACCGGAAGCTCACACGCCTACAGCACATTGTCATACGTTTAATAGACGAAAATTTGTTATCGATTGAAAAGCAATTTTACGTCTCGAGCGCGCTTCCATGCAATCGGGAATATTCATGCGGCATATTTTTACAACACTTAATGTATGCAAAACAAGGTGTAAGCTGGAATCTAAAACGGAAAGTTTAAAAATAACACGCACACATTCAAGACATGTATTATCATACATTAATATTTTATATCCTTCAACATAAAGTACACAATAATTTCCTCTTTATGATGATAATATTTAATTTTGTGTTCATGACGCTTAAAGTTCGAAATAAAAATATTTTTCTGAATTTAGACAAACATATTTCGAAAAATATCTGTTACGAACGAAGTGTCACGAAAGAATGTGATGTAAACAAGTTGTTTTGATCGTATTTTTCCATTTGCCAGGGTTTCCGAAAAAAATACCGCGACTAGAATATGAAATTAGGAAGTTTTTCCAACATTATTTTCCATCACGGCGGATTCTTTTGAGTAATTTGCGAAAATTAGTCGCTGCAAGCATAATTTTCAGGTCTGATAATTCGCTTTTTTATTTTCTACCAATTTCGTACACACACTTTGATACTCTCCTTATCAGCGTAATATAAACAGCAGTAAATTGAACAAAAAACGGCCGCTCTGCTTGTTTTATATATTACGCATCATAAATTACTGCGTGCAAAGATACACAATATTCCGTGTAGAAAAAAGAGATAAAGTGCATGTGATAATAGTCTCAAAAGTGAACAGGCATAAACCCACACGTATTAAAACACAGACTCAACGTGTGCGTTCATTTTCATGGAGCAATGATATATTTAATGCGATACAATAAAATGTAAACAATTGTTAAGAAGCTTTGCGACGAACAATTCCTCACCGGGACATTGAACAGGTTGCATTTGGAATCCGAAGCGCAACTTGGTATATTGCAGCATAAACAGTTTTCACAAGCAATAATTTACGTTTATAGTGGGCCAGGACTAGTGCAAGCTTTTCCAAAGTAATACCTTTCATATACAACATGTCCGCAGCGCACTACAAGTCATAATTTAGAGTATAAAGTATATTGTGTAAATATTTAACAAAAAATCAACAAAAAATTTTGAGCACAAAATTGCGGGTTTACTAAACGACATCATTTTCATATCATACAATCATCATTTACCTACATTGCACATTATGTAGGCAACCTGAAACGATAAGACCATACGAGTTATCGTATACTTGGGTAGGAAAATGAATGGTAGTCATGTTTGCACCGACGAATTGTTGCTTATCCTTCGAATCCATTACGGGTGACTTACAAGTTTCATATGTCAGGATAATATTATCCTAGTCCTAGCAGTATGAATCTATATGAACGTGTATATTTGCATTCTGCGGATTAACAAATTTATCGGATTTGCGAGTTTCACTGGCGTGCATTATGTCGTCATAAATATACAACGTGCAGTTGTGCACATGATAGAAATGTGTTTTAAATATTTATGTCACGCAATTCGAAATACGCCCATAACCCTAAAATAACCGCAATAATTTCATTAAATATCATTTTTTGCAAATAATCACCTGCATTATTAACAAAATCATATGAGTTTGGTATTTAGAAAATACATTAGTGTCACTGTGGCGATTGTAAGCGCGGATAAAATTTTTAAAACAATAAATCAAGCAAACAAAAAAATTACGTCGAGCACATTTTGCATGCGAGATAAAATCATGTGGTTGAACACATTACGCCCAGCTATAAAACTGTTACACGTAATATTAAAAGCTTTAAATATGCGAACATATAAATAATTTAACTAGCGCGTTAAATATACAAATTACTCAACATTATAAATTATTTATCGCCCGCCAATGCAGTTACATTATCGAATAAAATATTGATACTTTAATTTCATTAAACGGTGTAAATTATTTTGCAAAAATAACAAATACAGATTTATTACAATAAACACGAGGTTCAAAAGCCTCTCCACTGCTTTTGTCACGTTTTAGAGAGATGTGGTTATATTGAAGAACAAAAAATAACAAAATATTGAAATTTCATCAACAGAGTTGTAGAAATTTCGCAGTTATATTGAGTGACGTTGTAAGAAAGCTACACTGCAGACGAAGCCGTAGTAGTTCATTAAGTATTCATTGA